TTCGTAGCCCTCGCCTGCACTCGTTCCAGGTGCAGGTAATCCTTTTTGAACCGCGGACGCCAGGCCTGTCAGGTCATGCGTGACCTCAGAACCTGGTCAGCGGCTGTCTCGTGTATTCCCTCTTTGTTATCCTGCCTCGAGGACGGCGCGAATGTTGGGCCCTCCTAACAAAATATTCTGAATGCTTTATCTTACGGCGTAACACACAAATTTGACAGAGTATTACGTATACTCGGTATTTATTGAAGTCTTCTGCTCCATTGTGTGTTATCTGCTGTTAGACAAGTTTCTTACTGCGTTTTATGAAAAACAATATTACAGAAACTCAGGACAAGCGTTTGCTTTTGAATATGCACGTTAGGTTTTTGAAACAATGTTTTTGATCTCACCTGTCTACCTTCACCTGATCTTTACGGACAAATTAAGCAGATAATCTGTTTCCAACGGGGATTTATTTGTAACTTAGTTTATGAATGTGTATGTTCTTTCACAGCAGAACGCGCGCATGTAAGTTATGTTGAGTTGTAAAAGGCTATATCGTTAATAATTACCCAGTGTAAATAAACGTGGTATTTTGTTTAAACCTAGCCTTCTTTCCTTTCATAAACCGGATTAGTGTTTCATAACTCAAAGCAACCCTGTGCGCCCAAAAAGGCCTGCCTAAGCTCTGCCAATGAAATATCGATCACAAAATTTCACTTTTTAGGCCACCTTCTATATAGGAAGAGACATATTACCGACAAAGACAAGGAAGATGGAAATGGCCGTTTCTGGCTTATTAGCCACCCTCTGCTAGCCATACCCAACTCCAGGGGGTGGCGACCCCTGGGGTTCGAAACTGGGGCGTTTTTTAGTTAGAAGTTCAACGCTGTAACTGTTGTGCCGTGTGGCTGTTGCCTTGCCGGTTTTGATTGGGCGTATATGTCGAATCTCGACGTCTGGACTAACTAACGAAATCCTAGCGATTATTATCCCCAAATAACAAGGACGTAACACCAAAAGTGTTAAAAGGGATAATATTGAAGGAACGAGCACAACCGTAATAATTGTCGCCAAGTCCAGCTGCGTAGGTGTAAAAGTGTCCATGTCCGCGGGTTTAGCGAAGCCTTGTCCAGTCATCAGCCAATCAGGAAAGGGTGCAGGTATTGGCGTCAGAGTTCGCGAGGAATCTGTTAGCTTCGGCGTATGCGCGGTGAAAGCGGGGGCGCAAAAGTGCAAGAGCACGCAGAGGAAAGAGGATGAGTCAGCGCTGGACGCGCGACCAGACAAAGGTTTGGCAGATGAGAGGGTGGTGAATACGCGCAGCACTACCACCCCCATTCGTGAGCCACGGCGCAGGGTGGCGAATGCCATAGGCCGAAGGACATTAACAGCAAAGACTAGAGAGACTGGGATGGCCATTTTTGGCTTATAAGCCGTCGTCAGCCAGTCATACTCAACCCCAAGCGGTGCTCCACTACGGGTTCGAACTCGGGACCTGGTTGGTTAGAAGTCCGACGCTCTAACTGCTGCACTTCTGACTCGCTGCCTCGCCGGTTAGGTTCAGGAATA